AATTTGACCAAGAAGCTGGCAAAGCTAACTTCAGGTTCGTGTAAGAAGGTGCTAGTGTTAATCTGTTATGAATCTATTACGAACTTACCTAGCTAAAAAGCATTAACCATCATTGTAAATAAAGAAGTTAAGACCCCCTGAATGGACTATTAAATGAAATAAGCTTAATATAAAACCAGAGGAAAAGCAATCACATCAACAGGTTCTCTGTGCTTCACCAACCACACAAACATATCTACACATAAACATCACACAATCATCAGCGTGGATCACTGCGTTCCCTCCGTTATATAATCCTATCCCACTTTCTGAGTTCAATAATAAGTAATTTTGAAATAGTGTAATTTTGGACAGTATCTTTCTTAAACTGCCGCTCTATAATGGTACTGAATGCAGTCCAGCAGCGATGTTGACTGCCCTAAAATGGCGGCGCCATTGACGTGCCTGGCTAAACCCAACGCGGCATCTAGGTGTGTATATCTACGGTTCTGGCGCAGACCTGTCGCCGCTGTTTTCCATTCCTAACAACTAACCCAAACCTGCTTAGACTGCTTAGATTGTATTTGGTCAAAATTGGTCTGTATATTAAATGCCATACAGGTGAGCACTCCCAAGACAAACTCCTTGTAGGAAACATGGTGAAATAAAGTGATTCTGATTCTGAACTGATGTATTTTTCTCACAAAATTGGTCCCATTGAAAATCAAAGCATGACTGTCACTTCATAATTATGTTGGGAGTTAATCTAACTTGTAAGGCCTTCAGTCCAGATCCTGAAATCCTAACCAATGGGAGAGCTCGCTTGACTGTATCTGCCTAGATACCACAAAGAAAATAATCCACCCCTTTGTTTCCAACCAAAACTTAGCAATGGAATAAAAGAATTACTACAGTATTTACAGAGCTTAAATACAACAAGGATGAAGATTACAATAAATAACAATTAACTAAAAATTACAGACATGTATTATTTCACAGAAATCATTTCGGAGAAGGCCTGGAACGCTCTGAGAGTTCCCCACCGAACAAAAAGCACCATGGACAGGACATAATGTTAACATTTTGGAAAAATTAAATAAAAAAATAAAAGTAAAATAAAAATAGAACTGGCACAGTAATGTATTCGGGTTCGCTTGTTTAGTTTTGCACTTAATTAATTCAAGCTAATGTAGCTAACATGGGACCTCATGCGCCAGCAATTAGCATTGTGCTAACTCTGTGCCTAAATAATCACTCACTGACCTCAAAGCGTGTGGAGTTGTTCAGTATCTCTAATAGAGTTGATTATGAGGTTTATGACGCTGTTTGACTCACTGTTATCCAAAAACATGGACTAAAGTACAGACGAATTTCAGGCTTCAAGGTTGCTACTATTGTTTAACGCTAATCTGACACTGTGATGCTTCACTTTGCTACTATTTAAAGCTGTGGGATTATAACAGACTGTCATCCTGCACGAACACCAGCAGAGTGTTCTTCTAAAGAGCCCCTAACGGCCCCTAACCTACACCTAGTGACTTTCTGGCTATGTTGTGCTGACTCTGTGGTTAGCATCCTCGTGTGAATGGCTGTGTTTGTTAGTGGATGAATCCTCCAGTCTATGTATTCTGTGCTCCTGTGTGTTATACTTACAGTGTACTCACTGCACCCCAAAACAGAGGCTAACAGTATCTGACTAAACCCAACATGGACAGGACGTAGTGTTAATATTTTGGAAAATAACTCCCTTAAATCAGCGGGATATCCAAAAATGAAATTTGCAGTTTTCCACTTACCTCACATGCAGTTGATTTGGTGTCCAAAATATGCTTGTTTAGTTTTGCACTGAATTAATTTGAATATCCTAATGTAGCTTATTGAAGCACAGCACAGGCCTAATCGTCACATACTTCATCATACTCCTCAAACCGTGTGGAGTTGTTCGGTATCTCTAATAAACTTGATTATGAGGTTCCTGACACTGTATGACTCACTGTTATCTATAAACATGGGCTAAAGTACGGACAAAATTCAGGTCCCATCTGGCTACTGTTGCTGTTTCGAGAATGTACTTTAGCTAACGCTTTAGTCATGAGATACTGAGATAATTAAGCAGTAAGTACACTGTGAGTACCGTGCGCTGTTCTGTTCTTACAGTACTGTTTTGTATTGTCTCACAGAGTCAAACGCATAACCTCAAGTGTGGACAGGAAAGAGTCATCTGCCAGTGTCACCTGGTACGAGTTTCTCTCCAACGAGTAAGTCTCACTGCATTATTGCCACTTTTGTCTGATATACTCATTTTATTAAAAACACCAGACTTGTACTTCCACTCACTGGCCACTTTATTAGAAACATGACCTTGTGCTTCCACTCACTGGCTACTTTATTAGAAACATGACCTTGTGCTTCCACTCACTGGCCACTTTATTGGAAACACCCACTTTGTGCTTCAGCTCAGTGGCCACTTTATTAGAAATACTGACCTTGTGCTTCCATTCACTGGTCACTATATTGGAAATACCGACTTTGTGCTTCCACTCACTGGCCACTATATTGGAAACACAACTTTGTGCTTCCACTCACTGGCCACTTTATTAGAAAAACTGACCTTGTGCTTACACTCGCTGGCCACTTTATTAGAAACACCGACCTTGTGTTTCCACTCCCTGGCCACTTTATTAGAAACACCGACCTTGTACTTCCACTCACTGGCCAGTGAATTGGAAACACCAACTTTGTGCTTCCACTCACTGGCCACTATATTGGAAACACAACTTTGTGCTTCCACTCACTGGCCACTTTATTAGAAACACTCACCTTGTGATTCCACTCAGTGGCCAATTTATTAGAAACACCGACCTTGTGCTTCCACTCACTGGCCACTTAACTGGAAACATGACCTTATGCTTCCGCTCCCTGGCCACTTTATCAAAAACACTGACGATGTACTTCCACTCACTGGCCAATTTAATGAAAACACTGATCTTGTGCTTACACTCAGTGGCCACTATATTGGAAACACAACTTTGTGCTTCCACTCACTGGCCACTTTATTGGAAACATCGGACTTGTGCTTCCACTCGCTGGCCGCTTTATTAGCTATAAGTTATGATGATGCCTTGAAGCCTCAGACAGCCTAAAAATTTGTGATGGCATATTGATATCATTCAAAACAATAATGGTTTGTACAATATTAACAACTTCAAAATACATAAATACTAGATAATAAATAGTATGTTTCCTTTCTAGAATTTTATTGTCCGGTTAAAATTTTAATACTGTGTCATTTTAAGAGAAGAAAACAGAGCAAAACAGTCAACAACAAGCTCTGTAAGGATGGTAAGACATTGTTTTAGTATAGAGTGCAGCACTCAGGAAGAATAGGCTCATTAACCTTATTAATGCATATGAACTTATATCAGTTTTGGGAACTGTGGTGGTAAATTCTATCAGTACCGAACAGCATTGCTGAAAAGAAACTTCATCTCTGCTGCTGTTGACCTTTAGGAATGAGGAAGAGGAGGACAGGGCAGAGAGGACCGAGCGGGGCACCAAAGTCAAGCGCACGCTGAGCTCTCTGAGGAACCGCATGACTGGATCATTCAACAAAGACAAGGTGACTCCGCGCTTGCGCTGACCTCACTGCAGTATTGCACACTTCCCCTCAGTGTCAGCCTCATCTTCCGTCACGCATGCATTTCCAAGAAACGTTGCTGCAACTCTAATACGGCGGCTTCTGTTTGTCGCTATAACTTCCTCTATTTAACATAAAGGGGAGTTTGTTTAAGAACGAAACTGAAATTTTATTTGTGTCACGTCTTATGATGTGATTCACACTGACAGTTTAAAATGAAACAGAATCTGTTTTATTTCAGACCTGCTTATAAAAGTGTGCATGAATGACGAGTCTAATCCTCCATTGGAATTTTTGTAAACGTTTTGGTTTTTTTGAGAGCCCTTTATAGATGACCACCTTTCTTTAACTAATATTTATCTAAATATCTATTAAAGGGCCCATATCATGAAAAAACGAATTCACCTCACTTTTTCATAAAATAAAAGAGTTTAATGTAATCTATAAACATTGTTCCAAAATGTACCGTTCACTCCCTGGTCCATACTTACCATATATTGTCGCTGTCCAAAGAAAAACATATATCTCCATTTTTGTCGATTTTTATTTTCCTATATCATTTGAACCTGGCAGCTGCCCTTTATATCCTGTGTCAATTTCATGATGATTGGACCAATAGAAATGCTCAAAAATCACTTCAAAGAAAACCCTTTTTTGCATTAAATTATATTTTAAATTTGTGAAGTTTTTGCCTTGAATTAAAAGTTACTATTTTAGAGATACTTGTTTTCCTTTGGACAGCGGCGATGTGGATACTGAGCTGCAATTCTTTGTTTTTGTGATGTCACAAAAACCAACTTACATCTGCTTATTCAGCCTACTTTTGCCTGTTGAACTTTACATTGTATATAAATTTCATGATGAATGAACCAAAAAAACAGCCCAAAATGACTTGGAGAAAAGTCTGGTTCCATTGACTTACATTAAAAGTAAGGTATGCTTTTTCCTTCTCCTGAAAAGTTACCAATTTGGAGATATGAAGTTTTGTTCCGACAGCAGCGAAATATATATTCTTTTCATATCTTTTGCTTTTTTATCTTTTTTTGTGTGTGATTTTCAACCCCACATTCACACTACAACTAGTAGCACTTTCTACTTCTTTAAAGTTTTAATCATTGTTTTTCTTTCTCTCCTGTCTCTCTGTTGCAGGGTAAGACCCGGGAAAAAGATCAGCAGAAAGAGAAAGGCAAAGAGAGGGACAAGGAGAAAGAGAAGGAGAAAGAGAAGGAGAAAGAGAGGGAGCCGAAGGAGAAAACCCGCCGCGCAAGTTTGATTAGCCGCAGTGCTAATGGGCACATGCTAGTTAACGGCTCGTTCTCCAGCCTGGCCACCTGCTCGCTGTGCAGCAAGAGCCTGCAGAGAAAGCATGGCCTGCAGTGTCTCAGTGAGTACTACACTGCTACACTCACGCACACGCATGCATGTGGCTCCTACACATGCTCCACTGCATGGCCCTGCTGCAGCACCATGGCTGTGAAGGGCATTGCCACCCATTTTTCAAAATTTTCTTCCAGTGTGTGAGATGTAAACAGAGTGATTCAGAGTGGTTTGGTGTGAAATGGTTCAGATGTCTTTACAGTGGTGGTGATAGGAACCAGAGGTTGCCATGACTACAACACAAATATAGACATTTTATTTACTATCCAAAACCACCAGTGAACCTACACGAGTCTTCTGAGTTTATATGGAAGGTTGATGATGGGAAAAAAGTGGAAAATCTGGAAAAAAAATTGAAAAAAGTTTTCTTTGGGGACTAGCTTGCTTTACAACGCCCTGCATGTATCCCTCCACCATTAACAGATTTTAAAAACAGATTTTAGGTCAAAACCTTCTTAAAGCTATCATAAAACAACATCTCAGACATCATGTAATATCTTTCTGTGAGGGCACTTTTAGAGGTGGACATCTGGTTCCTATCACCACCTCTGGGAGGTTTAAGTTAATCTGAAACAGAGCATTTCACACCAAACCACTCTGAATGTTCACATCTTAACCATTCAGTAATGCTGATGGTGGCATTCCCCTTTAACCCTTTGATATCACAATTATACCCAGTAAAAACATGTTGTCATTTCATATTAATTATTAAGAGCATAACAATACATCGTCGCTTTTCAAAGAAAAACATGTATCTCCATTCTTTGCGATTTTCACTCTTCTACATCATGACAGCTGTGCTTTTCATTGTGTGTAAAATTCATGATGAATGGACCAATAGAAATGCACCAAAATTGCTTAGAAAACAGTCAGGTTCCATTGACTTCCATTAAAAGCAAAGAACGGTTTTGCCCTCTCCTGTAAAGTTACTATTTTGGAGATACATATTTTTTCTTTGGACAGTGACGATATATATTTTTAGGTTCAATTTATTTTTTGATTCTGAGGGCATCAACTTAAGCCCCACCTACTTTACTCTGATAGGCTGCACCCAGATGACTTTGGTTCACTGACAGTGGTTTCCCCCCTAATTACTGAAACAAGTGGAGAAATTTTGTGGAAAGTACAGGTTCTTAACTTCTGTCCCTTGTGTGGTGTTGATGTGTTTGTTACTCAGTGGTCTGCTGGACCCACCGCATTATTGTTTTTAAATCAATATAGCCAGAACAGTTTATGTAAAAATACCAGATGTTTAAAATATCACAAGTGGTCAGCGTAGGGTTCTCCTTTAGCAGCTGTAGCCAGTCAGCAGCCTGTCCATGTTGTCCACCCTCACACACACATATACAAACACATACACACACACACACTAACAGCAGGCCATGTAGGAGGAGAACAGAGTGAAGGACCCAGCACCTTCACACTTTTACTCCCCGCGGGTTCAGCCCAACACCACATGTGTAGTATAAATGTGTGGGGGGTGAACAGAGTGAAGACACTGAAAATGGGTTATTTTATATGTTCTTCACAGAAAATGAGCAAAGACCAAGAATCTGAGGTTGAAAAAATAACAAATCACATAAATTTTTCTTTTGGTAAACATTGAAGATGGATCCCACAGACCTGAACACCACACAGAGGTTAATCCATACCGCATGTGTGTTTGTGAGTAGAAGAGGAGATTTGCAATTACATAAACAGATTCACATTGTTTACCACAGCAACAGTGACAGCTAAAGGGTTCTCTAAGGGTTAACTCCTCTGCTTTCACCAAAACCAGCCTGTTTCCTCTGCTTCTGCCGCTTCGACTTTCTCAGCACTTTGTGCATGCAGGGCTGCAGCTGTCCATGCGAAATGTGCACAAAGCACGAGTCCCAGTGTGCATTAAATTAAAATCCCTGTGGCTGCCTCTAATACCTCGTTAGCCCAGATTATGAACTGTCTATCCAGCTATAATGAGTCTTCTTTAGGCAAAATTATGGTCAGTGCACTTAATTTTAGTAGCATTAAGAAAGCCTTCATCTGTGCTCAGACATATCAATTGACACGATCTGGATTGCCAAAAATGGTAAGAATGGTTCATAAGTGATTACTGTTAGTGGTCACCGTGGTTTATTGACATATTAAAGTGATAGTTCAGCCAGAAGTCACAGATACACAGCTTTCTCCCCGTAACTTAGATGTAGTCTATCAGCCAAGACATGTTTGATGCTTCTTTACTTTTAGCACTGGAGCTACAAGGCTAACGTAGCTAACAATAATGGAAACTTACACCCTACCAATTAGCATGGTGCTAACTGCATACCTGAATTATCACACGCTCGCCTTAAACCGTGTGGACTTGTCCAGTAATCTCTAAAAGACTTGCTTAATTTGATTTTAAGGCCAAAATTAAGGCCAAAGGAGCTTTACAAAGCAGCACGCAGGAGAGCGAGACTGTGTTGGGGTTGCAAATATAAACACAGCTTGGTGTACCTTCAAAAATCACTTTGCAAGGCTGTCATTTCGAAACTGCCAGTTCATTTTCTGACCTTTGCTTCCACAGTTCTTCTTCTCATTCATGTATGGTGTCTGTTTTTGAAGAAAGGAGAAGCGAATGTGTTTTCATTTGTTTTGTTTTGTGTTTTTACTCCTTCACTTTTAAATTTCATCGAAAAAGTCCCTCTGCTCGGTTGACTGCATGGCTCACAGGCTGCTTTTAGACGTCCAGTGACATCATGTAGTTTCAGGCGGAGATATTTTTGTTCAGTGTTAATGATGATGTGCAGTAAGGACTCTAGTGCACATGTATAAAGGAGAATTCCACCGGTTTTACAAAATTCCTGCACAATTCAGTTAAGAAACAAAGTCATTCAGAGTCGTTTGATGTGAAATGCTCTGTTCTAGAGGTGTTAACAGTGGTGGCGATGGTCAAATTCCATGTTTTGTTGGTCTTCTAAGTGAATATAAGTGAACACATCTATATCTACATATATATATATATATATATATATATATCACTGCTGTCGGAACAAAACCTTGTATCTCCTTTTTTAACGTTTTTCAGTTTTGCGTAGATTGAAGATGCCTGTTGCCCTTTACATTGTATGTAAATTTCATGATGAATGGACCAAAAGAAACGGCCCAAAATGACTTGGAAAAAAGTCTGGTTCCATTGACTTGCATTAAAAGTAAAGTGTGTTTTTTCCTCTCCTGTAAAGTTACCATTTTGGAGATACAAGGCTTTGTTTAGACAGCAGCTTTTAATATATCCATCCATCCATCATCTAAACCGCTTATCCTTCTGGGTCGCAGTGGGGTGCTGGAGCCTATCCCAGCTGTAATTGGGCGGAAGGCAGCTTTTAATATATATTCCTTTTAAATCTTTTGTTGGCCTTTTGGCAATTTTTCAAAATTTCTGCACAATTCAATTGTTAAGAAACAAAGTCATTCAGAGTTTGAAGTGAAATGCTCCGTTCTAGTGGTGTTCACAGTGGTGGTGATAGGAACCAGACGTCTGAGGAGGTTAAAGGGCATGTGTCATGGAAAACCCAACTTTCCTCGCTGTTTTTTTTTCAAAGAAGGAGTAACATGTAAACATTGTCAAAAGTGAAAATAAGTTAAAACATCCTCCACAGAGACACACTTGAACATTTGTTTGCAGATTTTAGTGCACAGTTTCTCTTTATTTGCTGAGTTTAACATAACAAATATGACTTTTTTCCTAATATGTTAAATTCAGCGAATAAACAGTATTTGTAAGTTAAAATGTAACAGTGTGTTCTCTGTAGAGGATGTATTCATTTTTTTACACCAGCCGTGATAAAATGTAGGCTTTATACATCATTATGTACAGCTGTGTGCACAGAATTAGAGCATGTTCTACTCCCACGTTGATAAAGAGACACAGGGCTGTGTCTGAATCCTGCTGCGTGCTATTCTAAATACTGTTCTGAGGCCGGAAGTCTGAATCATCTGTTTGAATAAGACGCTGCCTGCTGAGGTTCCTCTGTTTGGCTGTATTTTTAATTCGGCGTAGATGTATAGTTTGCCTTGCATATCCCGTTATCCTGTGTTAGTGTTGGTGCGGTATGCTAAGTTGTGCTAATCTTAGCTTAACAGCTACACAGTGTTCTTTTATTACTTTTTTATTTTGTCGTTTTAGAACAAGTAGAGCCAGCAGCTCTTTATTATGTATGGTTTTATGTTCTGCTAAAGCTAGTCTAAGCTAATGTAAGCTAATGCTTAGGTAGCCTAGCCTCCAAACCCAGTGAACCTTTGGTACATATTTGAGCATTAAGGCTGTTACACACTTAACGCAGTTTATTCGGATGACAGTTAATTCATTTGAGCGTGGTTAGCCAAATTAATTTGGCTGGCAACATTATTTTATTCGTCCTCTGTCTGATTTTTGCTTTCACTGGTGACAAAAACTCATTGACCAATCACGGCCGTCCCTGGTGTTGGCATGACAACAACCAAGATGTCGTTCCAGCTGTATTCCAGCAAATAGAACTTTTACACAAAATCCGAGTTAACTGTAGAATCACTCAGCGGTTCAGCTTTTGAATAAAGTGATGAAGCTCTTAACGCTATTTTCACTTTTTTATAATGGACAGTAGCCCAGTGTCACCGCTTGTCCGTTTCTTTGATGAGTAAAGAATGATTTTAAAGGCATTCAGCCTGTTTGTTTTGTGCTCGTCTGATGTGGAGCTGCATCTCCAAAATCAGAACAAACTCAGCTGAGATCTAAGCTGTGAGTGAAGCTTTTGTGCAGTTTCAGCTCCTGAATGAGGTGGAGAAACTCTACATTCTCCTCTCACTTTTCCAGAGTGGAAAGCATCTTGCAAACTGTCTGTTTCAGGAGGAGCAAAGGCCCTATATATATATATATATATATATATATAAATGTCAAAAAGGGCCTTTGCTCATCAGATCAGAACCGCATGTCTACACTTTTTTGACGTTTTTCGGGTTTTGACATAATTTGTAGTTCTTTACATTGTGTGTAATATTCGTGATGAATGG